GATTATCTCGTCCGGTTATTTGATCTAGTTAAAGGTTTTAGATTGTGTGAACTTTTTGTAGGTGGTGGTCTTGGGTTGTTCATGGGTTTATTTCTAGGATCTCTAGAAAATCCCATTATGCAAGATCAGATGTCCGGTAAGCAGCAATTCATATATACGGCAAAGCAGATGGGGCGAAGGAGTTGGAGTTCTGCAAAGGCATTTGCAGTTATGGGATTGATTTTCTCTGCTGCTGAGTGCGTTGTTGAAAAGGTACATAACATGTAGTAGATTGAAAGTTGGAAGTTGCATTGTAGGATGTTTGAGGTTTAATTCCTCTGATGTTGGGACTGACCGGCTTTGATTATGTGTTTTTAGGCACGAGCCAAACATGATACAACAAATACGGTTGTTGCTGGCTGCGTTACCGGAGGCGCAATATCTGCAAAAGGTGGCATTTTTCTCGTCACTGATTAACTTATGGTGCTTTACATAGAAAGAATGCATCCAAACAATGTTTTGTATGTTGTATGTAACTCTTCCAACTTGGTTTCCACCGTGATAATGAGGAACTTTGTAATGCTTTTATTTAGAGTAATAAGAAAAAAAAATGCTATATGCTTTAACAAGTTCTTTAGGCCTCTTCCCTATTCAAGCAGGATGGAAATATATTGTGTCAAAATGCCAACTTGGTCCAGTACCTTAGATGTGCTTATAATGTCAAGAGAAAAGGATCTAGTGAGTTGGAGGTTGGACGTATATATATTATATGCCAACAAATTGGCTAAAGTTAGTTGTTAAGGACCTTCTTTTAAATGACCAATCTTGACGAGGGTTTGTGTTAGAAACCAAAAGTCCCACATGATATAATTATAAGATGATCGGTCGGTTTATGAGTCCTTGTGTCCCCTCCCCTGTGAGTTGGTTTTGCAAGGATGAGTTCTACTAGTGGGTTCATAACAGTTTGTTTTTCACTACTGTTAGGAGTTGGTTAATAAGATACTGATACTCCTAATGTATCAACATAATTGTTCCGCACCTAGTGCGGAACAAAAATTTCCATAAGGCACTTTTGGTAATTTCATAGCTTCAGTGACACTCCATTGTCCGAACCAAGGAGGTTTCTGCTCAAATCATTATAGTAGATGCCATCTTCAGTCATTTTCTTTGTTGTAGACACAGAGCTATCAGTTTTTTGTTTTGTTTTTGTTTTTGTTTTTTATTTGTGCAGATAGAAATCTTATACGAGGTAG